ATTTACTAATGAAAATTCAAATTAAAGAAAAAGCAGGTAAGTTCTAAGAGTATGACATTTTTATAATAAAAATGTCTGTTGGCTTTTAACAGCCAGAACATTTCATTCACAAGTAGTGTATTCTGACATCATCTACCTGCATTTCACAATCATCCTGTGGTTCTCAGTTTTATTTTGGGACTATGTTTTTGTAAAACTTTAATTTACATGTGTCAGTTAGTTATTCAACTTTTTCAAAAAAAAATCACAACTCAAGCTGGGTGGTGTTGGCGCATGCCTTTAGTCCCAGCACTTGGGAGGTAGAGGCAGGCAGATCTCTGTGAGTTTGAGACCAGCCTGGCCTACCAGAGCTAGTTCCAGGACAGCCTCCAAAGACACAAAGAAACCCTGTCTCAAAAAGCCAAAAAAAAAAAAAATCACAACTCATGTTATAATGAAATTTACATTTGGGTTGTTGTTGAAGTTTACAAAATGCTCTTTGAAAGTCTTTCATTCAGTAATTGAATTTTTAAAACTATACTTTTGGTACGTTTTTAGATAAATTCATGAGACATTTTGTTGGAGATAAAATAATAACACTATAAACTTTTTTTTTTTTCAGATGAACAAGAAGATGAGGATGCTGTAGTCAACAGGATATCGTATGTATTTGTGTTAGTTAGGTTTCCTATTGCTGTGAGGAGACGCTATGACCACAACAACTCTTATAAATGCAAGCATTTAATTGAGGTGGCTGGCTTACAGTTTCAGAGGCTCAGGAGATTGCCATCGGGATGGGGAGCTGGCAGCATTCAGACGAATGTGGTGCTGGAGCTAAGAGTCCTACAACTTGACTCAGAGTCAACAGGAAGTCGACTGGCTGTCACACTGAGTGAAGCTTGAGAAGAGAGACCTCAAAGCCCACCCCAATAGTGACACACTTTTTCTAACAAGGCTATACCTTCTAATAGTGCCACAAAAAAGGAGATAATTGCCTGCAGTAGTAATCCTTATTAATCATATTCTTAAAAAGCACATGTAAGCAAATACACATGGTTACTTTATAACTGAATATCTTTGAGTGTGGCACATGCCTGTAATCCTAATAATGGGTGAGGTGGCTTGATCAGGAGTTCAAGGCTAGCTTCAGATACATAGTAAGTAAGGCCAGCCTAGGTTACATGAGACCACATTCCTTTCCCCTGCTAAGTGCTTATTTAAAGAAATGGCAGATTTTAGCCAGGCAGTGGTGGCACATGCCTTTAATCCTAGCACTTGGGAGGCGGAGGCAGGTGGATCTCTTGAGTTCCAGGCCAGCCTGATCTACAGAGCAAGTTCCAGGAGAGGCTCCAAAGCAACACAGAGAAATCCTGTCTTACCCCCCCCCCCAAAAAAAAAAAAGTTAGATTTTATTGTCTGGAGATTAAAGAAGAAAAGAGCTTAAAGGTTGTTTAAGAAAGAACTGGTTTGGTGTCATGGGCACAGGCTTGTAGTCTCAGCACTCTAGTGATAGAAGTAGGAGGATTGAGAGTTTAGCCTGAACCACACAGCAAGACCCTGAGTACAAGGGAAAACAGTCAAGTTGTCAGCCATTTACTTTGTGTTCTGAGCAGACTCTCTGAGGCAAGCAGCAGGTAGACTTTCTGATCAGAGTGACACATTTGCCTGTCGAGAGCACAGAGGGGCCTGATTGCATTGTAGGTTCCTTATATATGTGGAGGAGATATGATAGAAATGTATTTTAATTTTTAAAGTATCAAACTGAAAGGCAAACACTTAAGTTCTTTCTATTAGATTTTGCCTATTAAAATGTGAAGTCTGGGGCTGAAGAGGTTACTTAGTGGTTAAGAGCACTGGCTGCTCTTGTAGAGAGACCTGGGTTTGGTTCCTGTCACCCACATGGTGGCTCACAGTCATCCCTAACTGCAGTTTCAGGGACCCCAAAGGGTGGCAAGGTCTCCACGAGAGTGTCAGTGTCACCATAGATTAAGAGGGTGTCCATGCCCAAGGGAGCCTGCCAGGGGTGTGTGGGAGCTGAGCCGGGGAAGGAGGGTGTCTTGAGTGTCAAGACCGTTCAGTGCAGAATGGGGAGCTGACCCAGACAGGAAGCTGTGCAGCTGTATAGAATTGGAATCAGTGTGGCAGGACACTGGCTCCATGTGTGGTGGGTGGGGAGGCCTGATTAAAGTCAGTAGGAACAAAAAACTAAGGGAAAAGGAGAAAACAGAAATGGCCACTGAGTTGTTGGTTTGGAGTTGGGGTTGTGTCATTGTGAACACATGGTTTCAATGCCTACCAGTAGAACTGTGCACAAAAATGAGTGAGGCCATGTGTTTGTACATGCAGATTGCACACTGTACGCCTCAGCTTGTCTGTCTCCTGAGGAGACCTCCCAGGCACAGGGATTCATAGGCCAGGGTTACATAGAATTTTCTACTAAGTAGAGCCAGGACTCCTTAAAGGGGGATAATAGAAGGGCTGGATAGGGAAAGGCCCAGGTTAATTTTATATTTTTCTTGTACAGAATATAAGAGTGTAAGAATTATTGGGATATTTTAAAGGAAACAGTCCTTTAAGGATCCTCACACCGAATTGGGGACAGTTTAAATATCAAAATAAATAATTATGGTGATGGATTTGAGCCACTGCATACAGTTGGAGAGTCTTGAGTCCATTCTGATAGAAACCAGTAGATGACTACATTGGAAGTTTGACAAGGAACAGGTTTCTCTTGTAGTTTCAAACTTATCTTTCCACAAAATCCTAACTGAAAGGAAGAATATCTTAGAGTGGACTACCCTCGCAGTCACTGCCTTGATCTGGGACCAAGAAGATAGGGTCACTAGATAGACAGTAACTCCAAGTCACCTGTGGCATGCAGAGAAAAATCACAGGGCAGCAGCTTGTGATAGTCCTGCCTTGTGGACATCAAACCACACCTGTCTAAGGCCGATTTCCTCATTTCCCCATTCAGCCTGCCTTTTGTACATCATGAGACACCAGACTTCCGGTTTAGGCCCCTTGCCTCTCAGTTGTCTTTGCCTCCTCTCCAGCTTCTTGTCAGGAGCCATGTTGGTTTTGTGTTCAGAGTCTGACTTGTCTGACCATTGCCACTTCAGTTCTCCTTACTTGTTTTATTTTCTATAGTCCCTGTCACATTTACTATGTTATGTAGTTACCCATTTAATATTTTATTGCTTGTTGTCTGATGCTCTCATAGCATTAAGCAATACTTCACTTAGAAGCCCTGTGAAGGCAAAAAATGTCTTGTTTAATGTTTTAGCATGTCATGAACAGTGCTGACTCAGAATCAAGGTTGTTAAGTGAGTGAGTATTACCAAGAGATTCCTGGGTCAGTCTTCTGTGGCATGTGCACTAACAGAAGCCGTTTCAGGTGGTTGCCTGTGTGTGATCCTTATGGTAATACACTCTGGGGTTTCCACTGGTTAAGGAGCACTGGTCAGAGTGAGCACTTGGCGGCTGAATTCATGAGTATGCCTTTATTGAGCAGCCAGATAAAGGCTGTGACAGTTACTTTTCTCATCAGAAGCTAATGAGGGAGGAAGGGTTTATTTTTATGTAGTTCACAATCCACAGTGTTGGCAGTGTATGCCAGTGTTTTGTTACCTGCAGATGGACCAGAAAATAGAGCAAGCATATAGGCTGGAACCAGAGGTGGGTGAAACCTAGAGACCTGTGATTTTTGCCAGCCAGGCCCCATTTCATGGAGCTATAGCAGTTTTTAAATGGTGCCACAAATTGTAGAATGTATCTTCAAAATGTAAGCCTGTGGGGACATTTCAGATTCAAAGCAGAACATTTAGGATGACATATTGGTACATTTCATAGAGTGTGTAGAAAGAAAGGAGGGGATGCTGAAGAAGTGGTAAAATGTCAAGAAGGAAGTACTTATCCACTTGAAATAGCCAAGATCCAACACTCCAGGTCCTGGCTCTTGTTTGCTACCTGAAGTGTATGTGGCAGGCTTATTGAAGTAATTTACCTGCACTGATTGCTTTCTGAGCCACTGACAGCATTTAGCATCCAAGTGGGTTCACACACTCTCCTGCTTACAGAGGATAGTTACAAATGGTAGATATTCAAGAAAATATTTTTGTTTCATTACTACCATAATCACAGAAGGTACAATATTCTGGATGTAGTATTTCCTTCCTTCCTTCCTTCCTTCCTTCCTTCCTTCCTTCCTTCCTTCCTTCCTTCCTTCCTTCTTCCCTCCCTTCCTTCCTTCTTTTCTTTCTTCCTTCCTTCCTTTCACAACTCAGTTTAGAAGGTGACATTTCTGTAAGGGCATGTTTTATGATTGCACAAGCATTGTCTCTTCTATAGTTTTCTAGTTCAGGGTTTTATTTTAAGGATCCCTTGTCAGCATTAACTCTACAGGAAACTTTTACCAGTGGCTCTTTGTAGGCAGCAAAAGTGGTTTTCTGCTTTCTGGGCAGGTCTATCACAGTAACAAAGTGTGGAGCAGAGGCTCCATAGCTGTTGAAAAGCAGTATAATAGTAATGATGACATAGACACTGGATTTTCTGGGCCATTTTGTGACCTACTGATTTATCTCTTTGTCTCATAAGTGAACTCCTTTTGTCAGGTATTGGATTGGAAGTTATGTTGGCCTGGTGTGTGGTCAAGTGTTATGGAGGTAAGAGGAAAGAGGAGCTGATTTTATGGAGAGGAACAAGAAGGTAGGAAGTAAGGGACACAAGCAAATGACATTTGAAGTTTGTCTTGCTCTTCTGGCAATCTGCCATGTGGAGTGTTGCAGGGATACTCTAGAGAAAGAGAGTAGCCTGTGTGCAGAGGCCTGGAAAGTAAGTACATGATCCATTAAGGGTTAGGAAACAGGTTGGGGAATAAGTGTAAGGTGAACTGTGTCCTGCTGGGGGACCCAGGGAATTGGGAGAGCTGTGTAGGCCCTGGGATGGTGAGTATTTGGATTTGACCTTGGCTTTGACATTGACAGGAATGATGCTAATCAGGGTGATGGTCCTCTCTGTGCTAGAACTGGCCATCCAGTCCAGGTGAGCAACTTTCCTGAGTGTTTTTCCAGGACATGTGCTCTTCATTCTTTGGATCAATTCATGATGCTCTTTTGTCTGAGATGAGCTTTGTTTGGAGTTTTCCATTGATGTACATTAAATTGTTGTTGGCCTTTGATTTACCAAACCCAGGGGTATCCAGGGTACTTGTGGCTATGTAGGCACGTGTTTCTGTTGTTTGCCACAGGATGGCACTGAGTGCAAGGTTACTTGATTAAATTTGGGGTGAAACATTTACTGTGAATTTTGTTTGTTTTTTTCAAGACACGGTTTCTCTGTGTAGTCCTGTCTGTCCTGGAACTCAGAGACCTGTCTGCCTCTGCCTCCCAAGTGCTGGGATTAAAGGCCTGCGCCACCACTGCCTGGCCTAACTACTATGACTTAAAATTCTTACATTGATTTTCACATTCTTTGAATATTAACTTCAGTGTTACGGATACTCAAGTTCTATCTTTAATGCTTATTAAGTTTCCTTGCCATTACTGCTGCCAACCCACCTTCTTTCTTCGTTTCTTCCCCTCCATCTTCCCTCTCCTTCCCCCTCCCCTTTCCTCCTTTTCCCCTTTATCTCCCCCTCCCCTTTATTTTCTGAGACAGAGTCTCACTATGTTGCCCTGGCTGGCCTGGAACTCTCTGTAGACTAGGCTGGCTTGAACTTACAGAAATCCACCTTTCTCTGTCTTGCTATTTGTTCATTTTAAAATCCTTTTCAAAATTAGGTGTTTGCTATAAAAAAATTTAAAGCTTTTCAGAAATGTGTAACTGGGAAATTAAAGTCCCTCATGATTGCATTCTACTCTGTGGATTGTTATAAATGATGGATTTTGGAACAACACATTTCCTGATGATATGTAAGCATTTCTTGGTGCGAATAGAGAGCCTACTTTGTATTTGCTGTTAATGTTTTTCTTCAGTTTGTTTTGTTGAGTTAATTTACTTTAGACCCTTTTTACATATTGAAGCTGTATTATTTCAGAAATATTGAAATAGTGTTTGAAATACTGATTAGTATTATTTACTACTTCTCTGCTATTTACTACTTTAATTTAACCTTGCTTAATGAGATATTGGGGCTGGTGAGGTGACTGTGTGTCAAGGTACTTGTTCTGTAAGCCTGGATACCTGAGTTCAGTATTGGAGTCACTGTAAACGCAGAAGGAGAAAACAGACTCCACATAGTTGTCCCTGACCTTATATGCATGCCATTTCACCCTCCCCACTCCAGTCTCCCTCCCCTCACACACACACACACACTAATAATTTCTTAAAACTGTACAGCACTCTCATATATCTCTATCTATCTATCTATCTATCTATCTATCTATCTATCTATCTATCTATCTATCATCTATTATCTATGTATCTAAGTATGTATGTATGTATCTCTCTATCTTGTTATGGATTCTACCTGGTTGCACTTTCCAGATCCTATGCATGCTGTTTGTTCCTCAGATGCATATCTGTAATGGGATTCTTATGTAATATACTGGCTGTTGCTTTCCTGTTCACTGCCTTGCAGACCCCAAGTGATGATACCTCTTCTCTCTTGCAGGTTGTTTCTGAGCACCTTCACTCTAGCGGTTTCAGCTGGAGCTGTTTTGCTTTTACCCTTCTCAATCATCAGCAATGAAATCCTGCTTGCTTTTCCTCAAAACTACTATATTCAGTGGCTAAATGGCTCCTTGATCCATGGTTAGTATATATTACTTAATACAATCATGATTAATGCTTGAATTATTTTTAAGCTGTTAAATAACTTTATTTGTTCTAGGGAGGCTAGAGTCCTCTCAGAACTTCTGAAACTGCTTCTTGGGGCCAGCAGCCTTAGTGACCTTGAACACGTGGAAGCACACAGTCTTGCTCAGGGGCTTGCACTCTCCCAAGGTGACAAGGGTCTCGATCTGTACATCCCTGAGACGGGGGGGGGGGAGGGGGGAAGACGACAGGGGGCACGGACGACAGGTGAACAGACGTGTTCTTGTGGTGCTTTTCAAAGAGATTGCACTTTCCATGTAATAGATATAGTGCCAGCAGATGACAGTCCTCTGCATTCTCATCTTGGTCACAGCATCAGACAGGATCAGATTTCGGTTGAAGATGTTACCAGTGAAGGGGCGTTTTGTGTCTATGTAGGTGCCCTCGATGGCCTCCTTGGGCATCTTGAAGCCTAGACCAATGTTTTTTGTAGTACTGAGGGAGTTTTTCTTTGCCAGTTTCTGACAGCAGAACAGCTTCTTGTTTTGAAAGATCGTGGGCCTCTTTTGGTCTGAATGTCCACCATCTTCCTGGCAGCCTGAGAAAAAGAGTAATGCTTAAGTTTTTCACTACGCTGTTAAGTTACAGGGTTTTCTTAGTTTCCTCCATAATTTGTAACTTCTCCCAGTAAATTACTGTCTTGTTAGGGTTTCTATTGCTGTTATAAATACCATGACCAAGAGCAAATTGGGGAGGAAAGGATTTACTTCAGATTACATTTTCACATCAGAGTTCATCACTGAGGAAGTCAGGACAGGAGCCTGGAGGCCAGGAGCTAATGTGGAGGCCATGGATGAATTCTGCTTACTGTCTTGCTTCTTAGGTGTACTCAGCCTGCTTTCTTACACACTCCACGACCACCTTCCTAGGGGTGTCACTATGCCCATTGGACTGAGTCCATCCACATCAGTTACTAGTCAAGAAAATTCCCCACAGACCTGCCTACAGGCAAATCTTATGGAGGAATTTTCTTAATTAATATTCCCTCTTCCAAAAAAAAAATATTCCCTCTTCCTACATATGTCAGGTTTATGTCATGTTGACAAAAAAATTAACTGGTACAACTGTTGAAGACTTCTGTGAAGTCAGAAACTAACTTTTACTTAACGTTGCTAGTTTTAGTTGGATATTTTCCTTTACTTCACTAAGAAACAGTTCTTACACTCACTATAAAAAATTTTGCACTTGTGTGTGTGTGTATGTGTGTGTCTGTTTGGAAATAGTGTCTTACACTATAGCCTCAGCTGGCCTGGAATTTGCTTGTAGGCCTTGAACTTATGATAGTTCTCCTGTTTCAGCCTTTCAAGTGTTGGGATTACAGATGTGAGCTACTAGCCTAGGCATTGACTTGATTTTGATTCATTTAAATATTGTAGGAAAAGACTTTTTGGTTCATCTGGATATGTCAGAGGACTTCAATTTCCATTGAAGACCTGATAGAGCAGAGGCTACAGTTATTATTTTGTTTTCTTAGCCATTTTAAAACATGATAGAATAAAAACCCTGTCAAGTTAAAATTTGAATGTGATTTTAAAAGTAATGATGGTATCTGCATATGCTGGCACACCCCTTTAATCCCAGCGCTGGGAGGCAGAGGCAGGCAGCACCGCGAGTTCCAGGTCATCTAGGGCTAGATAGTGAGACCATGTTTCTCTCTCTCTCTCTCTCTCTCTCTCTCTCTCTCTCTCTCTCTCTCTCTCTCTCACACACACACACACACACACACACACACACACTCACTCACACATGCATGCACATACGCATGACAATACGGATTACAAAATCTCCTTCCTTGAAGTGAGGTAGATCTACAGTGCACCTTTGGGCAGGCCACTGCATTGTCTGTCCTCAGGCCACTACTCTCTTAAGTAGAATAGTAAATGCACTTTGCCCACTTGCTTTTAGGAATATATCTAATAGGAAATACCTGCCTTTAATAGGCACTTAGTATGTGATGACTGTTGTATGAATTTATATCTATGCACTAAACTATAATCTGCTAGGATAGTTCTTTATGTTGTCTGTTAGACTGGATTATGGCTCTTGGATGCTTGGACAGCTTTCTTACTCTTCCTGTCCATACCATTCCTGTTTTCTTAGTGTTGATTTTTGTGGCTAGTCTTGTTAATTATGGTATTATTACTGTCAAGCTATTTTATTATGTTTATTTAATTTGATAGTTATATGGAAGGTTAGATACATTGTTTATGAATGCCAAAGCAGGTAAAATTGGGACACCTCAATCGGAGATATTTTTGTGTGGACACAAATCATTTCCCTTATCCCAGTGAAGATGTTTTATAACAGTGAAGACAGTTTATGAAACCGTATCTTGAAGAATAGTCAGTGACAAGTATCTACCCTCCCCCCACCCCAGACTGGGTTTCTGTGTGTCATCTTGACACTTCTGGAACTCTTCATGTGAATGGACATTCTCTCCAGCCTGCCAGTTCCCAAATAACCACTTAGAAGCTTAATATTACTTATAAATATTCGACTGATAGCTCAGGCTAGTTACCAGCTAGCTCTTACACTTAAATTAACCCTTAATTCTTATCTATGCAAGCAAATCATGTGGCTTGCTTGGCACCTTTTCTCAGTATGGCATTCTCATCTTGCTTCTCTACATTTTGCTGGCAGCTCTCTGACTCCAACCTTCCTCTCCCAGAATTCTCCTAGTCTGACTTTCGAGCTCAGTCTCTTCCTGCCTTGCTACCAGCCAGTCAGCTTTTTATTAGCCAATGAGAGTAATACATATTCATAGTGTATGAAAAGATTGTTCCAAAGCACTCTGTATAGACCAGATGATCTCAAACTCAGAAATCCACCTACCTCTGCCTCCTGAGTGCTAGGATTAAAGGTTTGCAGCAGCAGCAGCAGCACCACCCTCTGCTGTATTTACTGTTTTTTAAGCTAAAGGATTTAAAGATTTTTTTTTTTTCTAATTTAGGAGCCTTCTTTTGAGTTAATGGTAAAATGTCTTCCTTTAACAAAAATTGGCTGACTTGCCATTTGACTTAGAAAAGGTTGTGTCCAAGGTTCCTTGTTTGTATTATATAATTTCCCTAGTTGGTATGTGAGAGGTGGAGTCGCTTCTCCTTGTAGCACTGTCTGTTCTGATGCTGGCTGCTGGGAAGGTCCCACTGCTCTGGCTGTGAAATAGAGCTTCCTTTTCAGTTGCTGTCGTGATGTTTGTGCTGAAGCCTCTAGAGAGCGACAGTAAGTCTTAAGTGGTCATCTAGTTGCTCTGAGCCAGCAAGCTGTCATCTAGAAGTACAGTTCTGTGTGACACAGGAGTAAGCTTTATATCTTCTCTTTTTGTGAAAGTACAGGAGGCACTTTCTATGGATGCTGTTGCTGAGGAGATGACTGAGTGTGGGGAGCGGCAGCTGTGACTTCTTTTACTGAGCACAGCAATAGCATGTGCTCACTCTAGAATGCATGAGAATACCAAAACATACAAGGCAGGAAATGACATCGGCTCCTTTTGTAGTACATATACGCACCATGTGTTTATAGCACGTGTAACGTAGATCTTTTCAAGCCCTGAATCTTTGCTGATTATTTTTTCTGCTCTTCATGTTCTTTGAAAACAGTTTTAGTGTCTATATCAGAGCTTTGTGTATATTCACCCAGCAGCCTTCAGAGTTACCCTGTAGCTTGCTGGAGTGAGACCACTTATTCTCTAGTGACTTCGAACAGATACGAGATGAAGTCCAACTACCCCAACTACCCCAACGACCCCAACTACCAAACAGCTTTCTCTCCTCAGGGCCCTTATTGAACTGTCTCCTGTTGGGTATTCAGGGGATTTTCTCAGTGACTTTTGGGTTTCTTATAATTTACGTAGATAATTAGGATCAAAATTATTAGGCTAATAAATATCATTGCCAAACTATTTTCTAGAAATGCTTCCTAATATCCTTCTGACAGACAGTGTAGGTGCCTTCATTTCTAACATAAACCCACCAACATCAAATACTCATCTTTGTTGCCAAGGATACGACTAAGAAGTAGGTCTCATGTTTGTCATTAGAAAAACTAGTGATCTTTCAATTTAGTTTGTCTACAGACATCTAATACATACATAATTTGTGGTGTTCTTTCCCTTTTCTGTTTTTTTATATTGAAGTATGTGATTTCTTTATGTGTAAAAATAAGCCTCTATAAATGTTTTTATTGTTACTATTTTGATTTTGTATGCTCTTTAGGGATCTGGAGTTTTTAAACTTTTCTGTTGCCTGATCTTTTTCTTCCTTTGGTTTCTTTAATTTTCTCTGTAAAAGACCCCCTCTCACCATGGATGTTAGCAAACACTTTCTTCTTGTCAGCAGTTTTGTTTGTACTTGACTGTTTACTCCATCTGGAGTTTGCAGAATACTGTTTTGTCCCTCACTCTGCGAAGCTCACTGTCCTAGTGCCACCATTTTACTGGCCCCCTCTCTAGTGTCTTTAATGCTACCTTCTTATTTTGGAAGTTATCCCATGAGGGGTCTATTTCTTGGCTTTCGAGTCTGCTAGACCTGGCTTTAAATTTCAGCTCTGTGTTTTAGTATTAGTAACCATGAGCAAATGGTTTAAGCTTTTCAAGTCTTAGCGTTTTATCTGAAGAGTGAGCAGAACAAGACTAGTTGACTGCATTTTTATGTATGGAGAGTGGAGTGTACACAGAGTATAAAGTGCCCACTGCTCCGGAGGAAGAGGAAGCAAACAGCATTTTTTTCATGGGCCCACACACAGATGAACAGTGTCTGGAGAAGAGAAGCCACTGTTACGCACAACTACTCCCTGTCCTTCTGGGTGATCATGTTGTCTTTATCTTCCTGATTGTTAATAGCTCCTCTGTCCAGGAGTATTTGTGTGGGATACAGGCATCTTTTTAATTTTTGTTCAGAGGGTACTGTAGATCAGGAGCCGCCCACATACCTATAGAGATT